TCCTGTCTCTTAGAAACGGCTGCTCACTGGGATGCACAGCTGGACACCATGATGCACGCTGCGTGAACCAATCCCCAGCTCACAAGCCATTCTGCCTCTGTACTTCCTGCTTGCTTATCCCATATAAGCCCTAGACCCCCAGAGATCAGGGCCTGAGATTCTGGGAATGATCCCGACCACTGCCCATCCGTGTAAATAAATCTGCCTCCAAATCCTGGGTGTCGTTTCACTAGTTCTGCTTGCCATTGCAATAGAAGCTCCACAATAGAGAAAAAGAGGAACTAGATCAGTGTACTGATTCACTAAGCTGCCCTGATAGGGCCAATACACGGTATAGGTTTCAGGAGACAGAAGTCACCATTCCTGGGTTTTGTCACCTATTCTATTAAAAAATAGATCTACATTTAAAAAATAAGCTTATTGAGATTTACTTCCTGTATCAAAAAATTGGCTCTTTGAAGGTACACAATTCAAATGGCTATTTTTTTAATATGGTCACAGACCGTGTAGCCATCAGCACTCTCTAGTTTGGAATTTTCATTGCTTTGAATAATTGCTTTTCAAAATTATTTTATAATCATTGTATATAAGTGCTGCCTCAAATCCACTATCAAATAAACGGCAAAGAATATAAATAGCTAAACAAATATGTCTTTTCTACCTACTTAATCTACGTTTAACATTTCTTTGGGTTCTTCAGCTTTTTCTGGTTTACTTATCTGTGAAACCGGAACTTTGGCTTTACCTCACAAAGGACTGATTTGCGTTCTATTTGTTTGTTTGAGTTCTGGGGATCAAACCATGAAAAGAGATTGCGTATTCTGTTACAGCTGGGGGAAGCTGTTCAGCTAAGGACACATTGTGTGTGTGTGTGTGTGTGTGTGTGTGTGTGTGTATTACTGGGGATTGAACCCAGAGCCTTTGCACTGAGCTATCTTCCCAACTTTTTTATTCTGAGACAGGGTTGGTCTCACTAAATTGCTAAACTGCATGGGGTGGACTGAAATTTACAGTTTTCCTGCTTCTGCGTCCCAGAATGCTGGGATTATATATGTGTAACACTGTATCAAGCCTTACAGGTTTGGCTTTTTTTTTTTTTTTTTTTCAGTCTTTTTGAGACAAAGTTTCACTATGCAGTTCAGGCTGGCCTTAAATTCACTTTGTAGCCCAGGCTTGCCTGGAACTCCAGTGATCCTCCTGCCTCAGCCTTCTAAATGCTGGGATTAGAGGTGTGTGCCACCATGCCCAGCCTTACATAGTTATTATAATTAAGGTTGACATTAGAGAAGTCACAAATACCAGGATACAAAAGTTGAGCAAATATTGAAAATGCTCCAAAGCAAGGGATTTGGTTTTAGATAGTTAATGTTTACCAATGTTACACATAAAGGCAAGAGGCAAATTTCGGTGGAAATTTTTTTGGAAGCTTTAAAGTTGGCTCTGATACTTTCTGGCTCCCTCTCCAAACCAGGCAGTTTTCATTTGTAAAATGTGGATACTTCCTACATTGTACAGGAGAGTCCAGCAGAGAGGACATATAAAGCATCTAGGGTGATGTCTGGTGTCTGATCAGGGTCTTATATAATTTAGTTCCCTCAGTACAGTTAGTCTACCTAGAAATTCAAGACCAATAGAAAAGAGAGTGTATTGGTCAAAGGAGAACATTTCTGTTAGCAGGAAGGAGTTTAAGAGATCTATTGTGCAATATGGAGACAAAAGTTTATAACAATGTATTGTTTTAAAAAAAATTGTTGGGCTGGGGAATGTGGCTCAGGGGAAGAGCGCTTTCCTTGTATGCGCAAGGCTCTGGGTTTGATCCCCAGTACCACAGGAAAAAAAAACTGTTGAGAGCAGATAATAAATTCTCATCACACACACAAAAATAGGCACGCGAGGCAAAGCATGTGCGAAATAGCTTGCTGTAGCCATTTCACTGTGTGTGCATATTTTAAAACATTTATATATATTTATACATGCAACATGTACAAATTTTATCAATCAATTAAAAACAAAGTGATGCAGACATATAAATATTTAATACTTGCATAAATTTGTAAAGTTGAAATGAACTGAAAAGCTGTAATTTATCTTAACGATGCATTAATAATTTATATTTCAACACAATAGCTGCTTTATATTTAGAATACTGCTTTAAAATATCTCCTTTTTTTACTGCATGAGGTATGAGACTGCTACAGTTTAATGCTTCTCTCTAGCCTTGGTCCTGTCAAACTCCCTAAAATATTATACTAAACTGGTCATTATTAGTCCCTTATGTGTTGAGAAATTATGAAAATTAAAAGGAAAGCAAAGCAAAATACCGTGAGTTTATGCAAATACAGTAACTAATGCATCAGCAAGTCGAAGTAAAATTCAAAATACTGCAAATAATATTCTGGGGTTTTCACATGCGGAGAGAGTACTGGGAAGGTTGCTGGATGGAGCCTGCTTGGAATCTGGCCAGGGGTTTACTTTAATCCTTAGGAATTGCGCCATTGTGAAATGTGAAATTGAAGTTTCAGTTTTATTGTATTTAACAGCTATTTTCTCCATGTGTGTGTCCTGTCAACTGTAGAGATCAAAGTGCCCGTTGGACACTTACTGGGCAAAAACGGCCCCCTTCTTGTTCCAGCTCTTCTACTGCGGGGGTCATCGCGATGGTAACAAGGAGTTTAGAGCGCTTAGAAGGCAAAACAAAGCAGCAGGAACAACATGACAAAAGCCCAGCCCAGTGTCAAATAATATAAAACATCTTACACCTCTTCAGGAACTTTGGTTTGCTCAAAATGCAAGGGCTGAGCTTTTTTTTGCAAAGTAACCACGCGCGTAGGATTTTGCTCTTGCCACCGTGAGACGGAAGGAGGATGGAGATCTCGGGGTAGACGAGGAAGCGGGGATGCAGGGCTGGTGCCGCTCTCCAGAGTGGGGCCTCTCTCTGTTCCTGTTGCTCTATTCAATTTGCAACAGACCCCGAGAAAAGGAGGGTGGGAGAGGAACAGGACACTCGATATATGCCAGCTGTTTGTTTATAGCATTTCACGACACATCTCGTGGGGAGGGTCCTTAAAATCAGCTGGCTTGACCATGTCTTATCCCAGCCCGGGAGCCCATCAGGAGAGAACATCCCCAACACTGCACACTTAGTAGCAGAACCAGTGCTAGACACCAACCGAAGCTTTGTGCTTCCCCGCACTCTTCCTGGTGGATTTCTCTGGGGAAAAAAGAAAAAGATGGTCGAAGCTGGCATTGGTAAATGCTCAAAGCAAAGTCTGCTCTGGGAACATGTGTTAGTCAGCGTGCTGCTGCTGGGACAAAACGACATACACAACGGCAAGGAAGAAAGGTTTATTCTGGCTCGCCCGTGTCAGCTCACAGTGAGACGGTTCCGCTGCTGTGGGCCTGAAATGAGGCAGAACATCAGGGCAGAAGCGGGTGGTGGAGCAAGCTGCTCACCTCATGGCAGACAGGAAGTGGGGAGAGTGAGGGAGGGTCCAGGAAGTGGGCAGGCCCCAAGGTGTGTTCCCGTGACCCCACACACACGCAAAAGTGGCATCTTTCAAGCCGATGCAGTCAGCAATCAAGATGAACCATCACTGCACGTTTTCACCTCCACTCCTTATCCCTCGTGGTCCCTCCCACCCCCAACCCATCAGCAGGACCAGTGCCTTTCTGTCACCCTCTGGCTGCCCCACAGTGACACCCACTCCAGCCCAAACCTCTGTTTCCTCAGCATGCTGATGTCAAGCAGCTCTTGGGGAAGTTATTTCTTTAAACAAATTCACGTAAATATTCTAACTGGTACTAATCTACCTAGCCTTCTCAATGGGATTGCTTTGGAACCCAGATGAATTTCTAGATCTTAATTTTTTTTTTTTTTTTAGAGAGAGAGAGAGAGAGAGAGAGAGAGAGAGAGAGAGAGA